CGTCACTGTTACTCCAAGTAGGAATTTCTGCCTAAAGCTCGAACTCCCAAATGTCAACTGGGGCAGATATCCATCAGCCCAGTCCACCATCATTTTGAGTCCTCCATCCATTCGTGTAGGCGAGTGAACTAGGTTTAATCACTTTTGGTATGTGTATTTGTGCGATTTGCTTGAAGTGGTTGGACCGATACTATCCACCTGTTCTTGGCTCCCAAACGTCCCAATTTTGTAAAGGAAAAAGACCATTCAGCCTCATCTGGCGGACATACAGTCGAGCTGCACTACACTCGATTATTCGTACCGTCGCACTCTTGCAAACGCATCCTTAAACGTGCAGTGTCTACCCATCATCTGATATCGTTCGGCTATCCTTCCGTCATTTCGTGTCCTGCCTAAAAGGTAGTACATTGCCCCATTATCATCAAGATTTTGTATGCACTTTATTTTGTCATCCTTCCCCAGTTCATCTATCCATCTGTCCGTTGGTCCACTCTTTTATTCGTTCATCCATCCAGCCCATCCGTCTTTCTATTCATCCACTCTTTCCTCCTTCCTTCCATCCATCTATTTGCTGAACCGTCCAAACATCCATTCATCCTTCCTTCAACCAATCCACATGTCAATTTCCCATTTCAGTTATTCACTAAGCCCCCAGCTCCATATTGTATCCTGTCAGACAATGTACTTCAGACCGTCAATTTGTGAATACCGCGCTAGCCTTCTCCTGAAGCACCTGTCCATCTCTTCGCCTTGGAGTTGTCAGGTCAAGCGGGAAAACGGCCGAATCAATCATGCCTGAAAGACCAGCAGGGAGGCTTGGGTTGGGAGGGTGCATGGTCGGTAGGCGCGCCGTCTGTAAGGTTAGGCGGTATGTTGCGGCCTGTGAAGGTTTCAAGGGTCCAGATAGACACATACACCTCGAGAGAGTGGCTGGCCCACTCGCCAAAAGAGGATTCGAGTTTTGATGTTCTGAGGTAGCAAATCAGCGCTCCGTCTGAACACTGCAAGCCGTTCAAGCGTGAACTAAATCAAACAGCATCAGACTTTAATTGTTTTTTGGATGGTTCATAGGTTTAATAGTGGGAAAGTCGTCTTAAAACTCGATGCTGCCAGGCTTCAGGGTAATTTGATACGTCTGGTAGGACCAATTTTATTGCAGCGCCATAAAGCCAACTCAAATATAATACAACCCAACAAAAGCGGAAAGTAGAAAACAAGTTTTCCCACAAGGACTATTGCAATTTTTGTATAAAGCTAAAGAGAGGCTACATTTGCATAGAGAATGGCGAAGGAACGAGATATAATAATTATTGGCAAGACGTATTATTTGCAATCGCACATAACAGCATTATTACTACTGATACTACTAATACGAGTAAAGTAACTAGAGTGGAGTGAGACGTCTGAAAAGAGTCCATGGTAAATAGTAGGCGAACCTTGAAACAGTCGGATATTGAATAAGCCAACATTGTCATAGAAATCGACAAAAAATGTATACTTAAATAAAGACCGACTTTTGGTGGTCATGTCGATTGGCCAAGTAAACAGACGTTCAAAAGAAGAAATAAAAAATGTTTAATTTAGGAATAGATCTCAATAATTGGATCTTTGATTTGTTTACTCTGTCCGATTTTCAGCATCTTGTATTCAAGCTCTCTTTGAAATATCGAAATGTGCACATAAAACCAGCACCTAATGGTGAAGGAGTGTTGTACACATAAATGAAAATATTATAGATACAAATAGGAACTGGGTTTCGATGAATCTCTTGAGATAACATTGTTAGAGGGACTTTCATTTCGTATGAAAGTGAATGAAGAAGAGATTCGTTGGTCGATCTCACCAGATGAGGACGGATAAATCTTGTTATACCGCGTCTATATTACAAGTAAGATAGAGCCGGATAGTGTTCCTGCAGTAGTTTTAACGTGAGACTTTTACAAGAATGACGCCCAGCTCTGAGGATGTCGATTATATGATGGACGAAAGCTCAGCATTTTTTCATCCGAGACGAGGGAATAAGTCTCGTGGACCAAGTATTGGCTATATTTAGTTAGAAATTCGTATGATTTTGTGAAATTGTTTAATCAGCAGACAATTTCAGAAGATGATAGGCTAGTAAGTTTTCACGTTGTTTCTATGTAGACAAACATTCCTGTCAAGCTTTGATACAAACTCTGGAGGAACATCCAGAGATAACACAAGGAATAGGGCTGAGTGTATCCTCCATTATAAGACTTATTAACCTATCCCATGAGTACCACATATTCTACCTTTGCTGGTAAGTTATACGAACAAACGCAAGGATTAGCGATGGTATTTTGTCTGTCTCCCATCTTAGCTAACAACAATATGGCAAGATTAGAGGAAAACTTCCTTCAAGACGCAATGCAAACCACCAAATTGTCGGTTATATACATGGATGACTATTTTCTCATCTGGCCTCATGGGAAGGAAAGTTTAGATAGTTTCCTACTTTTATCCAATCGGCGTGAAAGAAACATTGTTTTCACGATGGAAATGGAAGAGAATAAGTCCTTACCTTATCCGGATGTTCTCATCATTAGAAAAGAAGGTAGGTTAGGAAGAGATGTTTATAGGAAGCCAAAATATGTTAGCTCTTTGCTTAATTTTCTTTCTAACCATAGTTACAAGACCAAGGTTGGAATTTTGAAGTCAATGATTCTTGGAAGCATGAGGCTAGCGGATAGCAAACATTTGACTGAAGAGTTGCAACGACTGAAAAAT